TTAATTTTCTTAAAGTACTGAAGCCTCTTTCGGCCAGCCTCCTTTGCACCAGCTCGATTTTGATGGCATCTATGTCAATTTCTGGATAACAAATTAAGCTTTCCGATTTTTCGAACTTAAGCAGAAAATTTTCCAACAAAATTTGCTTTTTACCACCTGGCTGATCTAAAATTCGATTTTTTTAACCCACTTATTGCTGTATCTAACATCTAATAAAATTGTTGGTGATAATATTCTTCACACGAAATATAATTAGTTTCACACAAAGGAGCAAGTCCACTGTATCTCTTAGGTGGTTTTTTTTGCCTTTGTTTTGTTAAATTGCTGCAGGACATTCTTCAAAAAATTTTGAAAAGTTATCTTCAGTTCGCAGATCTGACAATCCACCAATCATAACTTCAATAGATTTACACAAACCTGACAATGTGTTTTTTGATACATATATATTTTTTATATGTGTTTTTTTATATATTATAAAGATATATATATAATGTGTAGTAAAGGATTAAGTAGTTTTAAAATTGTTCTTAAGTTCTATAAAACGCACTAATTGTATGACGATGTATACAAGCAATGTTTTTTCGACTAGGTATTGTTTTAAATATTCTGTTAAATTAAAATACTTTAAATTTTGTTGACATTTTTAACTTATTAAAAGATTTAGCCCCTGTTGATTCATACATTATTTATACAATGCTTTATATTAAATAATTAAAAAAAATTAAAAATTAAAACATATAAAGTACTAAAAATATATGAAGTGTCATGTATCACATTTCATTTTAATGTATACGCATGTCCTCCTTTTCAAAAGTCTCAATTGAAAAATAAAAAGAATTTATTTTTTTAAATACGTTGAAGTAAAAGTAAAGTTACTTAAATCCAATGGGTACAGTGTCTTAAAAATATTGTTTTATTTCGAAAGGAACATTTTGTCTGTTAAAATTTTTGAGGAGAATGACATGGAATTTATAAAAGCAAATATTATGTCATGTAATCCTATGTGATAACAGAATCATGAATGAGATGAATTTTTTGGGACAGATTTTAACATTTTAAATTGAAGTCAAACTTTTAAATAAATATCAGAAAAAGCCATAAAACGTTTTGCTAAACAAAAACAAAAAAAAGCAAACAAAAAAAACACTTTTCCTTACTATGAATTTGACTTGATCTGGATTTCTGAGATGAAAGATACATAAAAAATAATACTAGAAAAACTATCTTAAACATTTGTTACAGTAGAGATTATAATGATTAAAATAAATATATTTATAAAACTCTAAATTGCAAAAAAAAAGGTGGAAAATTCAAGATTATTAAAGCAATTTTAAGACTAGCGTTTTTCTCATCTTGTTCTGGTTTAATTTTTATGGTTTTAAAAAAGGAAAATAAAATTATTCAGTTGATTGACAGAATTAGTATTCATATTTTAAAGAAATGATAAATTAAAATAATTGTGGTCAAAATAATTTTTATGCATATTTTATGTAATATATTTACCTTTTTATTATTTACAAGAAAAGAAACAGACAAGATGAGATATTTTGGTTTTCTTGGATCACATGCTTCATTTTGGTAACCACAAAAACTTTATATAAATTTACACAAAGAAATAAAGACAACACATAGAACTCTCATTTTCTTCCTTTATCGGCAGTATTTATAATTTCAGAATTAAATTTTTTTTAAAATTTATACTTTTAATTCAGAAGAAAAGATTTGTTAAAAATGCCAAATTATGAAAATGTTGTTTAGCACAAACTAATTACTTTACGATTCTCATATTATTTTGATAAAAACAAAATAAGTAAAATTACATAAAGTACCCTTAAAACACTTATACAATAAATTAAGTTTAACAAATTATCCCATTCTTAAAAGAGAAAAAAAAATTATTAGTTTTTATTACTGACTGTAATAAAATCATATGAATTTTTTGCATTTAAAATATTTCTTCATTCTTTTAATTAATTAAAATGTAAGTTGATGTTAATTTTTTGTATTTAAGAACATAAATTATCAATAATTATATAAATTTTTAAATTACATGTAAATTTATTTATAATAATAAACGTGACATTAAATTTCTGAATGAAAACAAAGTTATTGAAAGGTCATAAAAACTCTAAGTTTTGATTTATAATTTTAAAAATTTAAAAGTTACATTGATTTCATAAATATGAAATAAAAACAAACTCCATGCATTAAAAATAAATTCATGCACAAAAAATGAACAGTAAAATCAAGAACTAATGTAATCCTATAAATGATATACAAACTAAATACTAATATAATATACTAACTACAAAACATAAAAGAATTCTTACAGTACATAAACATACAATTATAAATGTATTAATTGATTTAATACAAACATTTGCTTACCTCCCTAAAAATGGATTTGATTAATAATTTCTTATTATCCAATGATAAACTTCATCACAAAAACTTTATATAAACTTTATTAAAAAGAAACTAATAATTTAAGTTAAAACAATTAATGAAACAAAATATAGAAGTAAACAAATATTTACATTTATCTTAATTTTGAACTGGAAATGGCTAATTTAAATAATGGAGCAATAGAACTGTCTGCGCTTTGTACTTATGAGAAGACTTAGAATGATTATATATCAGAGAAATCTCTTGAGAAAATCACCAAAAAAACATAATAAATAAAAAAAAAAATAGAAAGTGTCAACTAGAGTCTTCCCCTACTTGAATATCTAAAAGTAAGCTTTTATACATCTGTTTTCCAAGAAATTCTAGATAATTGTCTATTTGAGACAATATGTGAATAGATAGTCAACAAAGTGATGGGTCTGTTGATATCTGACATTTTAAAAAAGGGGACAAAACAATCCAGGGTCATAAATAAGATAAAGACAATTTCAAAATGCAAATGCCATTTTCCCATAGCAAAAACTAAGGGGGCTATTTTTGAGGTATCAAATGACTGGATACTTTAGAATCAATCTTTATCTGTTAACAGTGTAAAAAGTGTTTTATTGCTCATTGAAGGAAAGGGTGACAGTGACAATTCTTGTTGTTCTCTAAACACCTGTTTTACTTCTTCTATACAGTGCATTTTATTTTTACTAAATTTTAAATATATATATACTAAATATTAAATATATATATCTTTAAATTGTATAATATATTAAGTTGCACTATGTGAAGAGAGTGAGAGAAAAAGAGAGTAAAAGTTATGGAAATAAAACATAAATATTTTCTCAAAATAATGGACCCTGGCTTCCCAATTATTGGGGGGGGGGTCTGCACCCCTATGGTTCTGACACCAGTGATTGTTAGCAACCCATCTAGCTTTAGAAAGAAAAAAATATATCAGCAAAATGTATTAGAATAATATAAATTCAAAGATTTTGAACAAACTTATTCAAAAAAGGTCATGTGTTCAATTTTTGTGACTGTAGAGAAATTAAGTTCTATCATTATAATTTTAAAAAAGAAAAAAAAAAGGGTAGATTAACTTTTTGAAAGATCAAATCTTTGAAAAACTTGCATCTAATAAGTCCCAGAGTTCTAAATGTTGAATTTACTTCTGAAATATAAACTTCCCTCTTAATGTGTTTTATTTTAAACTACAACTGCACAAAACTGAAAAAAAAAATCATTGAAAAATTTATTATTTAACTTAGAAATCTGTTCCACAGGTGGAAAAGAAGCCCCCCTATATTTGATACAGTTCTGTGACTGCAAGCCATTTATCCATAGATTGTTAATAGATGAAACTTTCCCGAGAAAAAAAAGTAGCTCAAATGTTTTGGAAAAAAAATAATACATTTTTAAGCACTTCATACAGATGGGAAGAAACACTACTAAGTCATTCTAAGGTGCATACAAATCCAAGATAAGTTAATAGATTTCGTTCGTAAATGTAAAGACATGATTTAGTTTTATTAGATAAGAAGTGATAGAAGAAAAAAATAGTTATTAAAAACTCAAATCTTGAAAACAAAATGATAGCTAACCCTTGAGCATAAATTATATATACAAATGAAGTCAATAAGATGTTTGACAAACTATTTAACAATTCCCAAATTTTAAAAATAAATGTAACTTATCAAAAAGAAATTAGTTTTTGAAACTCGCATTTTTATATGAATATAAATATAAAATACCAAATAGCACAGTTCCTTAGATGCCTGAGTTAAAATTAATCTCAGCAGAAAAGAAATTATGAAAAGTCATAGGTATGGATGGTGTTGTCGACACTGAAGCTCTTTACCTAACATACTTCCGCATTACAGTTTCCGGTATATTTTGAGGCCATTTGGCTCATAATGAGATATCATTGTGACTTGAGTAGTATTTTGCATATTTGTCACTTGATTTATTATTTGTTTTTAAGACCTGTCATAACAAGAAGCAAGAATTGTCATTTGAAAAAAAAGAACCATTATAAAACACTTTTTACCTTATCAACAATATACTAACATCACTGACAATTTGTATAATGAACCTAATCTTGCTGCTGTTAACTCTAATGCATGATGGTGCATGGCTTTCAACAAGAATACACAGTAATAGTAAACAGAGGCCAAATTGGGACCGCCAAAAAAGCGAGTTCTTTTCAGCAACCATGCCACTTTTTTTTAACAATACACTTATAAATGATCAAATGATCTGAAACAAATGAGCACTTCAAATTCGCTAGAATTGCTTAATATTTTATGAAATACAGCATATTTGAGTTAAGAAATTATTTAATTTATTTCTTTTATTAAATACAAAATTATCAGTTTGAAAATTTTACCTTGTAGAATAAGCTGTAGTTAGCAGCTGTATACTATCTAACCAGAAGTACAGTAAGTCAAGAATTCGAGATTGTTGTTGTTAACATTTATATTGAAAACACCATACATAGTTCAGAAACCTGATAATTTACTGCGACATACTAATTTTGGCTTATCATAGATCTTTGAAGTAATGAACACAGATATTTTTAAGGCTATAGAACAAAGAAAATATATTACCTTTGCATTTATTTTACTATTTTCACTAACTGACTCTTTAAGAAGTGATAGACATTTTTGAAAACAAACATTCATCTTCTTAGACAAGTGGACAGTTTCACTGTGATTTCTACAATGATAAAGTTTATTTCAAAGAATATAAACAGAAAAAGGCTTAGAATAGATAGCAAACATAGAAATTTGTTGGCAAAAGCTATGGTTTAAAAAAAATGAATGTTTTTTATTTGAATAAAATTTTCTAAATTTTTTTTAACAATTATCAGCCAAATCATTCGACATGTTCATAATACAAACCAAGTTCATAATATAAACTATTATTTAAAAACTATAATACAGCTAAAATAATTCATTTAAATATTTAAAATTATGACAAACTAATCATTGAATAAATTAAATCATAGTTGTTAAAATGATCCTAAAATTTGAAAGAAATACTGTCAATTAGATATCCAATGAAGAGTAAATCAGTTTAGATCAGAAAACATTAATGAAAATAAATTATTCAATGTTACTCTGTCACAACAAGTCTTTCTTCATTATTGATGCTCACTAACTACATATTTAATAAGTTTTAAAAGCATTTGTATCCAAATAAATATGAAACTAAATGGGTATAACTGAAATATGTTTATTGCCAGTAAATTATTCTATATATAGTAAATGGAAATTTATAATTTTAAGCTTTCATGACACTATTATCCACTTTTAGACATTTTTTTTACTTAAACTATTTTAAAAGATAATAATTTACATACTTCTCCCTTTCATTACTTCGTTGGATAAAACATTCCTTATGAATGAAATAAGTCTTTGGAAAAAAAATCATATGTTTATAAGTAAGGCCCGGATTTTGATGACATTTGCATTTTTTTGCATTTTTGGACATTTTTTGTCCTTTACAGCAGTGGTGCGCAAACTTTTTTCGACTGCGACCCCTTTTGTAGAGAGAAAATTTTTGGCGACCCCTAGAGATAAATGTTCACAAATACGATGTATATTTCGAGCATTTCTTTCGTTTCATCGAATAAAAACATCATCATATTTGACTCATATTAATTTTATTTATAATTTTAAGAAAATACTTTTTGTATAACACAAAAATCAGTAAATTGCCCTTTAATGAGATGTATGTGGCTGCAAGTTTCTAATTATCTCATCGATGTTTGGATGTATGTTGCTAATTGCAATTCGCATATCATCTTCAGGGTTTAAACGCGAGCGGTATTTAGTTTTTATTGAAACTAGTTTGCTAAATCCAGTTTCACATAAATACGTTGATGCAAATTGTATTAACACTCTGATGGCATTCTTGCATAAAACGGGATATTGTTTTTCCACGGATAGCCAGATAGAGAATACATTACGCATTACTGTCAAAGAAAGAGTGGACAGCATGAAATTGCAATTAAACAGTTAGTGGCGGCGCTTCACTCTTTATATGTACATTGTATAGTATGCAGCATGCAGGGATAATGCATTTCATAAAAATTTGGCGGCCCCCACAGGGGTCGCGACCCCTAGTTTGCGCACCACTGCTTTAGAGCATTTTTTGAGATTTATAGGGCATTTTCTTTAAATTTTGTGGCGTATTTTGCATTTTAAAGCATTTTTTAAATTTTTTGTTAATTTTTATTATTTTTTATTATTACACTGGTTTCTAAACAATGAAGAAAATCTCTAGGATATTAAAAGGTGAAGCAACATCTTTTCAAATTGAAGAAGAATCGTCAGTAAGTGTGACCGTCCTTTTCAAGTACGCACCAATAACATCAGTAGACGTTGAAAGAAGCTTCTCCTGGTATAAAAATTTGCTTTCAGACAAGAAACGCTCGCTTACATTTCAAAATATTTAAAAAAAAATTACTAATCCACTGTAATTCTGATATTTAGTAATATTATGAGATGGAAGTTGTTATATTTTTTNGGTATAAAAATTTACTTTCAGACAAGAAACGCTCGTTTACATTTCAAAATATTTTAAAAAAAATTACTAATCCACTGTAATTCTGATATTTAGTAATATTATGAGATGGAAGTTGTTATATTTTTAGGAGACAATATATTTTTCTTTTTTTTTGTTGTTGTTATTTTAGGATATAAAACATATTTTTCAAACTTTAATGAATGTAGAACAAGTATTGCATTGCTTTACATTTTTTAAAACGACTCATGATAATTTTAAAGAGTAAAACATTGTTTTAGTTCAATATTTTTACTTCTATTTAAATCATGTCATAAGGCATTTTTAGCGCAATTTTCGCATTTTAAGGGCATTTTTTGCACTTTTAAGGGCATTTTTTGCACTTTTAAGGGCATTTTTTGCACATTTTAGGGGCATTAATTGAGATTTTTTAGGTCATCAAAATCCGGGCTCTATTTATAAGTAATTCATATTTATAATTTTATTTATAAATATATTTATGAAATATTGTATAAAAATATTTTCAATTAAATAATTTATTTTAAAAAATTTAAATCAATATTTTAAAAATAAAAAAAAATCAAGTCATGTAAATTGCCATTTTAATCATCACTCCAACCCTATTATTCTTTTATTTTTAGACTTTTAAAAAATTAGCAACAAAATGCTGCCATGAATAATTAGTTACAAAATAAAGTTTGATAATTCTAGGAATAAGACTTACTTAAGAAGAGCAAAAAGACACTGAAGAGCATTATATTGAATGCTTTTATCCTCTACAGATGACATAAACAAAATGCTATCGTCTTTTAAAAGAATGTCGACCTATTAGTAAAGAGTTACGCATTATTTTTACATGTAAGAATTATGTACACAAAAGTAACTTAAAACTATAAGTATGCATTTTTGAACACATAATTGAATCTAGTTCTAGACAAATATGACACTTTACACCAGCTTTTGGCTAAGCTTTTTTGGTGGAACCCCTCAAAGTAACTTGAATTTAGTTATTTTAAATTGAAAAGTTTGACGAGAAATACACATAACATTATTGCAAAAAGAATTACTTTTAGTTCAAACTGATAAAGGGACATCTAAAGAACAAAGATGCATTAAAAATTTCAAATTCTATTTGGTATGAATTGGTTTCTGAGGTGGGGTAAAGTGGATATATGGTTACGCTTAGCTAAGTGCACTTTCTTACTTTGTGATTAAATGCATTATTTAATGTTTCAATTAATGTTAAATGTTTAGCAAAATATATAGCATCCTAAGTTAAACATAATTTTGATAGCCATGAATATTAACTTTTTAATTTAACAATAATAAAAAAATATATATTTTTAAGCATTCACTTTTTTTTTAAATATAATCAAATACATTTATTTAATAGCATTTTTATTTCAAAACGATATTTACATTTGTTTTTTTAATGAAATAAACACTAATTTTAGATCTATCCCTACATCAAAACATGTTCTTTTAAATTCATTACTGTAAGCAAACAATCAAACAAAATAGATAAGTTATGCTTCATATTTAATCTATATGAATCCAATGCATCCAAAATTTTCGTTAAAATAAATTTAATCCCTTAATTAGCCTTCTTTAAAAAAAAAAATGCTTAATTTTATACACACTTCACCCAACCTGATCCAATGCCCTTATTTTCAGAACCAAGAACCAAGGTTGGTATTTTAAATGGAAGATTCCTGTTATTTCTTTCAAAATATTGTAAAACATGGAAGAAACTAAATATGGTCAATAGTTACGAAATTGTGAGTTTTTTTTTAAACCTATTTTCAAATAATTTTTGAGCAATATGAAACCTAAATCTTTTCATCTGAGTGAATCGAACTTCCATAGAAATTTTTCTCTTTACAAACTATATATATATATATATATATAATATTTAAAACAAACCTCCTCTAGTTACGCTCAATTTGCGCTTTTGTTTTCATATTATGCAATCTGGCAATCTTGTTACGAAAATATTTTTTAAATCATTCTTGAAAAATTTCCCGTTCATGTAAGTAAATTTGAATTCACTACTCGCTTTATAGTTTTTGTTTTATTCTGTTTTTTCTTTTTATTTATTTTATATTTTGCTTTTACGTGTTATTTTTACTTATTGTGTTCTATTTTATTTGTTGTAATTTTTGTAAAACATTTTTGAGTACTCCTCGCACTATTGTATTAATATATTTTGTTTTGGCTATATTGATACAATTTCAGAAAGCACTTTTTTTTGCGGATATAATAGTGTGGGCTGATGAAAAGATTATATCTTTTATTTTCCTGATTTTTTAAAAAAAATTTTATCCATTTCCCCC